GTGGCGAAGAACGTAATAAGGAAACATGTAAATAGAATCTGGCCACCATAAGCTTTCTCCCAGCTATAAGCTCCAAAAGTACGACACCAAAAGAATAAACATCAGACCTCTCGGTCAACTTGCCACTTGATGCATACTCTGGAGCCAAATATTTGTGTATAATTATTGTCAGCTGTTCGAATTCAGAATTAAAAAAATTATGCAGATAATATAACAAAACCACCAAGCATCTCAATGAAGTATCCATCAAATATTAGGAAGTTTCTAATGTTCCCTTGTTCACATACCCAAAAGTCCCCATTACTCGTGTTGTGACATGTGTTGCAGCGTCCATAGCTCACCGTGCAAGCCCAAAACCTACTACCTGACCCATAGATATTAGTTTCAAGGTTAACAAGGAAGACATAAGTAAAGAATCAACAACACTTTCAGTTAGTATATCATCAAGCTGATGAACTCCAGCTGAAAGCTCCAGCCTCTCCTGATTAGCCAGGCTCATCAACAACATATTCGACTCTGTCTTCATCAAGAGAGCCTTCTTAGGGGTCGAGCACCCGTAATTCCCACAACCAATAATCATACCCCCTTTAAAAGTACGAGTTCAGGAAAATCTTTCTTTGGCCAATATTACCCTTAGGTTTTTTCTGAATATTACATTATTATCCTAATCTATTCTAATTATCTTATCTTCTTTGAATCAGTAACAAAATGATTTATTCTATTCATAATGAGACTTAACATGTTATTGGATAAAATAGATATGTTTCATATAATTCAAATCCTTTACTTATTTTAGTTCGTAGAGAAATCTAAAAAACATATACTAGCCAGCATCTAAAAGTTTTTGGACTTTGTAAAAAATATTCTCTAAGTTTTTTAAATTACAAAAACACCCCTACAAATTCAAAATTTTATTAAAGCATCTTAAAAATTATGAATTTTACTTATCTCAATTCAGTGAGAAATATGAAAAATATATGCTAATAAGAAACTAAAAGTTTTTTGACTTTGGAGAAAATATCTTGTAAGTTTTAAAAATTACAAAAACACCCCTAAAAATTTAAAATTTATAAAAAACACCTTGAAAATGTCAAACTTATAAACATACTAAAAACCTACAAATAACACAAACAACCCCCAAAAAATTATGGAATTTATAATACACACTTTGAACTATCTACAAATTGCAAAATAAAACCCTCAAAATTATAAAATTTATAAAAATCCTAATAATTTCTGACCTAATGGTACATTAAAAATATAAAAATTATAAATATCCCCTACATAATTTATAATTTATTAAAAACATCCTTAAAGTTTTAAAAATTACGAACACTCCTTTAAAATTTAAAATTTATAAAAAACACCCTCAAAATTTCAAATTCATTAGTAAATTGAAAGCATAGGAAGTATTAATAGTCTATAAATAATTTACAATCTGTAAAAAAGGCCTATAAGTTTAAAAAATTACAAAAAATCCTTAAAATTCATAATTTACAAAAAAAAACTCTATGAGAATTTCTAACCTATAGACACTAAAATGAATATGCAAAATTACTAACCCCTAGAAAATTAAAATTTTGTAAAAAAATATCATACACTTTTTTAAAGTATAGCTTTAGGAAAAACTTTTCATGATAAATATTACCCATAACTTTTTTGAAAAGAACATAACTAATTAAAAATCTATTAAATTTTAAATATATAAAAAATACCCTTAAAGTTTAGTATATTGCAAATTACCCCTCCAAAGTTTGAAAATTTGTAATGATTTTTTTGTAATTCCTTAATTTCATTGTAATATTTAGTAGTTTTGTGTATTTGTAAATTACAAAATTTATAAATTGAAAGCATAGGAAGTATTAATAGTCTATAAATAATTTACAATCTGTAAAAAAGGCCTATAAGTTTAAAAAATTACAAAAAATCCTTAAAATTCATAATTTACAAAAAAAAACTCTATGAGAATTTCTAACCTATAGACACTAAAATGAATATGCAAAATTACTAACCCCTAGAAAATTAAAATTTTGTAAAAAAATATCATACACTTTTTTAAAGTATAGCTTTAGGAAAAACTTTTCATGATAAATATTACCCATAACTTTTTTGAAAAGAACATAACTAATTAAAAATCTATTAAATTTTAAATATATAAAAAATACCCTTAAAGTTTAGTATATTGCAAATTACCCCTCCAAAGTTTGAAAATTTGTAATGATTTTTTTGTAATTTCCTTAATTCATTGTAATATTTAGTAGTTTTGTGTTAATGTTTAATAATTTTGTGTATTTATAAATAACAAAATTAGGGTGTTTTTTACAATTTTAAAAACTTTTGAGGGTGTTTATTTTATAGTTTTCTAAAATTTCATTGTGTTTTCAGTGTAATGCACATATACATCAATTAATGATGATATTAAAGAATAAGTCGTTTTTAAGATTATTAGACCATAGTTAAGTGTGCACATCACTATTCCTAGACAGTATAGTTTATATATGCAAAAAATTTTAGACAATCTATATAGTGGTTAAAAATAGTTTGACTTAAATGTACTATTTTTACAAATTATATTTAATGTGAACCCACCATATAATTTTAATTATGGTCATTATAATTTTAATACGTTTGATTGATTGACTATATACATATATAGCACCATATAATTTTAATTATGGTCATTATAATTTTAATACGTTTGATTGATTGACTATATACATATATAGACCATATATTACTTTATTTTCTCACATGAGCTAACATTTGGTGCTTAATAATTTAAATTATTACTTTTAAATTTAATATAAAGAGGAGCTCTAATAACATTTATTTATTTACTTACAGCATAATACAATCTCAATTCTTATTTTTTACTAGAGATTTATTCCATAGTTATGCGTATCGAATTAGTAACTAAAATAATAATTATTTATGCTTAAATTAGGATGATTGTAGTTGGTCACTCACTATAAAATTTTTATGAAGATATATACCTTACTTTCTATAGCTATCTGCACTGCCCATGTATATTTTATAAATTAGTTCTTAATTTGACATATTAAATTACTTTTCATTTGTAGAAATTTCTTCTTTGACTTTTTGACTGTGTAATCACTATATCACCATTGTAGCATAGAAAGGACCTCACTCTAAATGGCTTCAAGTCAATGTTTGAGTTGCACTTGAAGTATGTACTACTGTTACTATGTGTATATATTTTTTAAGAAAATCATGTCAACACTTTTTAAATATAAGAGAATATTCTAACCTCTGATATTATAAAAATTAAATATAGCTAATTGAATAATTAGCAAAAGAGAACTTACATCAGAAAAGTGTGAATAATAAGATAAAGAGGAAAGGTAATGGCATTACCAACAATACTATAAATAGCAAACTATAATGTAAAATTAACTTATTTTGTGGAGCCCAACTACTGGCTATAAGCATTGAGATTTACATATATATACTTTATAATTTATTAAAAAGGGTCATATAATCTTATATAATAAAATTAATTTAATATTAAATAGTAATATCATTATTAGAAAAAAAAATTCATGAATCGATATGCTCTTTACGATATATAAGCTATGCACTCTAAATTCTTGTGTCTTTTTATAGAGCTAAAAAGTTTGAATACGAGTCTCTAACATGTTGCTCTCAGAATGACAAAATCTACTTAGGAGATATGGATATTCTAGATAAGTTATGTATCCTATATATAATACAATTGTCCTAGGCAAGTGAGTTATAATAGCATTTTTTATTCACATCGTTTGTGGTAAGATTTGATAGGGACCTTGCATAAAAAAAGAAATTTTTATATTTAGAGCATATGATGAAATATATCATAATCTCCTTGTTCTAATTTCGTAAGAAAATAATTCTTCATACTTTCAGATTTACTTCTATGATACAAAAAATGAGTTATAAAATTGAATGAGAATATTAGATAATATAAATATGAGCGAAACATCAACTAAAAGTTAACATGAATATGAGTCAAACCACAACTAAAAGTTTAATGGACATATTGCAAGTAAGTTCATATGCAAAATTCTTTTGCGAATTGAATGGTCACTCATCTTTTGAAGACTTCAAGATACTAATAAATAGAGATGTTGTACTAAATTAATGTGTTTATAACTCACAAATAGTAGATCATGTAGTCACGGTCTAGGTTGAATAAAACAATAATAATATTTTATTTGAGAGAGAGATTATTGTGTTGATGATCAATCCCACAAAAAACTTTGTTTTTCTTATTTTTACTCTATTTTTATCAATTTAAATAATCATGATATTCAACCGCGTGCATTGCACGTGCATCTCAACTAGTTAAATAAAAAAAGCTAACTCACTAGTAGAAAATTTTAGGCTTTTTAGAGAGCAACATTCTTGATAGTCAAGGATGTAAACGGAGCCGTCAAGAATATTGCTGCAAGCATCTTGACGGGTTTTTAACATCCTCGATGTAGCCCGTCAAGAATAATTTAGGCCCACTTTGAGAAAATTAAGGGGGTGTTTGGTTCGTTTCCATAAAATAATGGAAATGGAATCCAAGGCAAATAACCATTTTCAAAAAAAATTTGGATCATGCAGGAATCCATAACTTGTGTTTGGTATAGAATGATGAAGTGAAGAATAGGAAAGCATTTCCAAAACTCATGTTTGTTTCATTTCCAAAAAATTTAAGGAGTTGTGAGAGTAAACTCATGTTTGTTTCATTTCCAAAAAATTTAAGGAGTTGTGAGAGTAATTGATGAGTTGTCAATTAGTTGCCAGATTTCCAGTCCATTTCAGAGCTTTAAAAATGGATTTGGCTTTTTCATAAAGTGTGTTGCCATGTCAGCTTTTAAGAAATGCATTCTTAAAAAAAAAGTTGAACCAAATGACAGTTTTGAAATCCAAAAATATCAAAAAACCTACTTTTTGCTCCAAAACTGCATGATTTCCAAATATTTAGCCGAACCAAACACCCCCAGCGGCAGAACCCAAAAACCAAACTTTATCTTTTCTCTCCTGCTTACCTGTTTTCTCTCTCTTTCGGGTCTTGTCACTCAAAAGCCCAAAACCAACCAGATCTCGTCGCGCCGCTCGTCGCGCTCTCGTCACCGCCGTGTCGTCGCTGATTATGTAGAGGACTGTTTCGGCGCCGCTCGTGGCCGAGGTCGTCGCCGCGTCCGGCTGTCAGTCATTCGTCGCCGCTCGCGCGCTCAGCTCGCTCGCCGCCACCGTTTGTTCTCCACCGCCGCTCGACGAAGTTCGCCGCTGCCGCTTCAAATTCTTAAGGTATTTTTCATGTTATTTTTTATTTTTAGCGATACTTGTGGTTTATTGTTTTGTTTTGTTTGAATTACTCAAATTCAAAGCCCTAGTTAACCTTAAACCTAATCCAAGCCCTAACTTTAAAACCCTAATTCAATCTAGTAAATCTAACAAAAATTACCCTCATTCTAAACCCTAATAACATTACAATAAGTCTAGAACCCTAATTAAATTAACTTTCACCTTGATTTCATCTCTAATAAAACAAATTTAACTTTGCTAACCATAGTCCTAGTTCTAATAACCTTAATTGAAAAAGTCTAACCAAAATTATCCTAATTTTAACCATAATCACATTGCCCAAATCTAGATCCCTAGTTTAACTAAATTTAACCCAGCTATCACATTAATCCTAACATAATTAACTAATATAACTTTAATAGCTCTAACTGTAACCCTATTTACTCTAATTAATTAAACTAATTCACACAGAATAATGCTAATAATAACCCTAATATTATTTACTCTAATTTAGTTTGATATATAACACTATTTTGTGTTTTATATCATGTTTATAAGAATGGAAATCATTACCCTTAGTATCCCGTCTAATAATGTTGCATGTCAATCTCTTCTAACATAACTCTATTTGGGTATGAAATTAATTTTTCTATCTAGCAAGAATTGTGTATCCTATGTTAGGAGCATGCTTTACATATAGTATTATTGGATCTGTCCGGGAAGGAGTTCCCTTTTTGCACATGTTAGGAATATACTAGTGTGTTATCTATCTTTGTGTACTTTGTGCATCTTCATTTCTTAAAAATTTGACAGTACGTACTCGTTATTCTCCATGTACAATAAGTATATGTTATGCGTTTTGATATATTAGCGATACACAATAACATCCTTACTGTGTACTTAGAGAACAATGGGAAGGTGTTGCTGAAATTTTCAACAAATGAAAAGTACAAAGTAGGCAGAGATAGATGTAAACACTATTATATTGCTAATGGGATAGGTACATTTCCTATAACAACCACTAAAGTGTCCAATTCAACATAGGCTTGCATTTGAATCTAGAAAAATATGATTTATGTCTTAGCAATTTTCGTCTAATCTTTATAATTTAATATTTCGTAGATGGCACGAAGAGTCTTTAACATTACGTGTCCATTAATTTTATGCGCTAATCATTAGTTTAACATTACTTGAAAGTTACATGCATATATTATAAATACCTAAACTTTATGTGTGCGGTTTCGCTAATTAAAAGTTCTATAATATATAGATGACTATAGTTCCAGACAAGTCATGGATTGATATTCCTCGTATAGAGAGATGGAGGGATAGTTGATGTAATAACAGGATAAATGCTTTCATACAGTACGCTTTGGCAGACCTGAGAATTTAGATAGTGAAACGATGTATTGCCTTTGTTGGTGGTGCAAAAATTTAGAGTTCGTGAATAAAAGTGATAGGACATTTATATACATCATTGACGACAGCCCCGTCAAGGAAGCACACCCCGTCAAGGATGCAACATCATTGACGAGACATTTGCTGACGGCGTATCCTCGCATCCTTGACAGGACATGTGCTGACGGTGTATCCTTGACGGGGGCCTATCAAGGATACACTTTTTTGATAGGAAAATGAGCATCCTTGATGGGATTGCCTATCAATGATGCCCAAAGTTCTGCCAGCAACTCCTAATCATCAATTTCTTATATCCTAATTTAAGGATGTTACTATAGGATAATAACTTTTTATCTCTTTACTAGTTATCGTAGATAATTAAGTTTAAGATAAAAACCAACTTCTAATTAATTATTTATATTAATTAGATTTTATTATTCTATTTTTTTGTTAATTTTAATTTTTCATAGTGTTTTTATAATTATCAAAACCTTATCTTTTATCATGACATGATGTTTTTAATTTAAAAGTATTAGGGTACAATAACAACTTTTTATAGCTTCACTCATTACTATAGATAATGAAATTTGAAAATAAAAACTAACTCCTAATTATCAATTCCTTATCTCCTAATATAAAGATTTTAGGATAGGATAACAATTTTTTATCTCTTTACTAATTGTCATAGATAATTAAATTTAAAGATATAAACCAACTTCTAATTAATTAATTATATTAATTAGAATAGAATAACAGTGTAATATATAGAAGGATCAAGGGTATTTTTGTCCATGGGAAGTTTTTCACAAACTCACTTTTATAAGGAGCATGATTTTTACAAATTTCAAAATTGTATTTCAATGTGTACTTTGAATCTTTGATTTTTTTTATTTTAAAATTTTTAGGGTGTTTTTTTATAAGTATCATACCGGTATCTTTTATCATGATGTTGTTATTTAAAAATATTAGGTTAGGATAACAATGTTTTATATCTTTACTAATTATTGTAGATTATTAAATTTAAAAATAAAACCGAGTCCTAATTATCAATTCCTTATCTCCTAATTTAAAGATATTAGGATTGGATAAAACCAACTTATAATTATAATAGATAATTAAATCTAAAGATAAAACCAACTTATAATTAGTTATTTGTATTAATTAATTTTTCATTTGTGTCTTTTATAAATTTTAAAAATTTGAGGGTGTTTTTATAATTATCAAACCCTTATCTTTTCCATGATGTTGTAATTTGAAAATATTACGGTACTTTGTAGCTTTGATTTTTTTTTTTGATTTTTATAAAATTTAAATTTTAAGGGTATTTTTTATAATTATCAAACCCTTATCTTTTATCATGATGTTAATTTAAAAATATTAGGGTAGGATAACAAATTTTTATATCTTCACTAATCACCATAGATAATTAAATTTAAAGATAAAACTAACTCCTTATAATCAATTCCTTATCTCCTAATTTAAATATATTAGCATATGATGACAACTTTTTATCTCTTCACTAATTATTATAGATAATTAAATTTAAAGATAAAAACCAACTTATAATTAGTTATTTATATTAATTAGATTTTATTATTTTGGTTTTTGTTAGTTTCAATTTTTAGTGTTTTTTATAATTATCAAACCCTTTTCTTTTATCATGACATGATGTTTTTAATTTGAAAATATTAGTGTACGATAACAAGTTTTTATATCTTCGCTGATTACTAGGTTAGGATAACTATGTTTTATATCTTTACTAATTACTTTAAATATTTAAATTTAAAAATAAAAACTAACTACTAATTATAAATTCATTATCTCCGAATTTAGAGATATTAGGATTGGATGACAACCTTTTATCTCTTTACTAATTATCATAGATAATTAAATTTGAACATAAAACCAACTTATGATAATTATTTATATTAATTAATTTTTTATTTTTGTTATTTATAAATTTTAGATTTTTGGTGGTGCTTTTTATAATTATCAAACCCTTATCTTTTATCATAATGTTGTAATTTAGAAATATTAGGGTACTTTGTATCTTTGATTTTTTATTGTGTTTTTTATAAATTGTAAATTTTTAGGGTATTTTTTATAATTATCAAACTCTTATCATGGTGTTATGATTTAAAAATAATGGGTTAGGATAACAAATTTTTATATCTTCACTAATTACTATAGATAATTAAATTCAAAGATAAAAACTGACCCCAAATAATCAATTCCTTATCTCCTAATTTAAAGATATTAGCATATGATAACAGATTTTTATCTCTTTACTTAATATCATAGATAATTAAATTTAAAGATGAAAACAAGCTTATAATTAATTATTTATATTAATTAGATTTTATTTTTGTGTTTTTGTTAATTTAATTTTTAGGGTATTTTTTTAAATTATCAAATACTTTTCTTTTATCATGACATGATGTTTTTAATTTAAAAATATTAGGGGATGATAACAACTTTTTATGTCTTCACTGATTACTATACATAATTGAATTTAAAAATAAAAACTAACACCTAATTTCTTTATCTCCTAATTTTAAGATATTAATATAGAATAATAACTTTTTATCTCTTTCTAATTGTCATAGATAATTAAATTTAAAGATATAAACCAACTTCTAATTTTTTAGGTATTAACTATAAGCTTTATTTAATACCAATGTGTCATGCAGGTACAGACTCCAACTTGACCCTTATCAATAAACAAAACTTATACATACAAACTCAATCAAAGCCACAACAGACTCCAAACTCAAAGAACGCTACTACTTACACAAAACTCCACTTGCCTCAAGACAAATTTGAGGTCAAGTAGAAAACTTCAACCACGTATTTGAAAACAACCAAACCACAACATACATGCATGAAACAAAATTGTGCTTAAGTAACAGTTGGTTGTATATGAAAACCGTTGCACCAATCTCTATTGCGAATCTCACATAATTGAAACTTTACTGAGTTGAACCTTTAGAATAAATGTGATATGCTGTAAGATCACCTCAACCTTTAGCTTCTCCCCATTAAACACAGAGACATTTCTATCTCTCCAAGCATAATATACACTAGTTACTCTATGAAATTGAGCAATAATAGAGGAATATGGATAAAATTTAAAAATTAAAACCCATATTTCCCTACTAATTGGGCATTCGAAGAACAAGTGCATAGTTGACTCTTCAGCTTGATCACACAGAGGACAATTAAGGTTGACATTCAATCCTTTCCTTCTGAGACTAACTTTGGTAAGATGGTGAAGGTGTTTGGGGTATTCATTCCTTCTGCCATACCGCAATTTTCTTATGGACCTTTTCGAAAACAAAATTGTCTTTTGTTTTTTGGTGGTGTGTGTGTTCCTTTTAGAGGTAAAAGGTTTTTCAGGTCTTATCCAATTTGTACAACCATCACGAAAGTCAACCATCAGGTTGCAAATCTGTCGTAACTTCAAAATTTTGTTGAAAACCAACAAATAATTGTTTTGGTGGTGAGCTTCCACAAATTTTCCCTTTTATATATATATATATATATATATATATATATATATATATATATATAGAGAGAGAG